TGAGGTACTATAAACTTAGAGTGAAAATACATTCTTAAGGACAATAGTGACTCCATATTTCTTCTCATTGATAAAAGTACACCAAGTATTGGTACTTAATGTTTTTGGGATGTTTTTATTGTGGTAAAATATACATAAAATTTACCATTTTGACTTCACATCCATTTGTATGACTATTATAAAAACAAAACCAGATAATGTATTGGTGACGATGTGGAGAAACTGGAACCATTGTGCTTTGCTGATGGAAATGTAAAATGGTGCAGCTGCTGTAGAAAATGGTAATTCCTCAAAAAATTAAACATAAAATTCTGTGTTTAATTTTTTGAGAAATTACCATATGATCCAGCAGTTCAACTTCTCAGTGTATAACCAAAAGAATTAAAAGCAGAGACTCAAAGAGGTTATCTTTACATCCACGTTCATAGCATTATTTACAACAGCCAAAAGACGGAAGCCACCCAAGTGCCCATCGACAGACAAATTGATAAACAAAATGTGATATATAGAGACAATGCAAAATAAATCCTTAAAAAGGAATGAAGGCTGGGCGCAGTGGCTCACACCTGTAATCCTAACACTTTTAGAGGCTGAGGCGGGAGGATCAGTTGAGGCTAGGGATTTGAGGTTGCAGTGAGCTGTGATGAGGCCACCGCACTCCAGCCTGAGCAACAGAGCAAGACCCTGTCTCAAAAAAAAAATAAATAAATAAAATTCTGACACATGCCACAACATAGATGAATCTTTAAGACAGTATGCTGAATGAAATATATCAGACACAAAATGACAAATATTGTATGATTCCACTTATAAGAGGTTCCTAGAATAGTCAAATTCATAGACAGAAAGTAGAATGGTAGTTGCCTCTGGCTGGGGAAAGGGAGGAATGTAGATTTAGTGTTTAATGGGTATAGAGTTTCATTAATGAGGAAGACAAAAAAGCTCTGGAGATGGATGGTGGTGATGGCTGCACAACAATGTGATTATATTCACAATGTGAATATACTTAATGCCACATGCTATGGTTTGCATACCCCTACAAATTCATATGTTGAACCTTAATTCCTATTGTGATAGTATGAAGAGGCAGGGCCTTTTAGGAAGTAATTAAGTCATGAGGGCAGAGCCCCCATGAATGATTTATTGCCTTATAAAAGGGCTTAGCCTGTACCTTGATATACACAGAGATTGACACCAGTGTGCTGCTGTAACAAAAACGAACAATGTTCGGGAATGGAAGGTGAGGACACAGATACTGTAGGCTGGGAGGCTGGTGATCCTTATTATACTATGAATAACATTTGTGAAAACTGTTGCTTGCCATAACTCAGAAGGCAGGCCACGTACCTACTGGGTCTTAGCTCTAGAGGAAATGTTTGGGGAAACTAATAACGTTGGTGTGTGTTTGTTGGCATTTGTTGCTTTTAGAAAAATTACACGAGAGAGAAGAACTCAGGTAAGAATTGACTAGTTGACAAAGATGGAAGGAAAGGAATTCTGCTAAGGGAGGTTTTCACTGTGGTACACAATCTAGGGCTTCAGATGCCTGGAAAATCCAATTGCTCTGTACTCCCAACATCGGAGAAAAGATTGTCACTCAGAGTTACTGAACTGCAGAGATTGGTTTGAAAATGCTGCCTTCATCCTTACGCCTACTGTTTTAGAGAGCCTGAAAGCAGACTCTGTTAAATTGAGGAAGAGTGGGATGGAAAAAATATAGAAGCCAGCATATGCGATTTGGCAGGTTTATGAACTATGACGAAAAGTGATATTTGGATGTAGTTATTTTAACATGCATCTGATTGGAAGCAAACAGACAAGAAATCTAAGTTTTTGAGGGAATTTTATTACCAAAGATATCATAAATCTGGCCTACAAAAGTCTGTAATTATTTGATCCCTAAAAAAGACTTCAGGCTTCCAACCGGCATCAGTAGGAATCTATACTAGCAGTCCCCCAAGATATGGTCATGGAGGACAATAAAGAACTTCCTGCAGGCAAAATCAGAAGCCATACAGTACAATTGATAAAGAAATTCTTGCCAGAAAGCAGACCTAAATAAGTCCAAGGGGCTAACCAAGAAACTTCATCCACATAAGAAATCCTCACAGTTCCTGCCAAATAGGTTTTAAAAATTGGTATGGGCCTGCTATGTTTCCCTTTCTTTCCTTTTCCAAAATGGGAGTTTTTAGTGTGGTTATTCTGTTCCTATTCCATCATTAGGGGTATATGTTAGAGGTGAGGGGCTGATAACTTGTCTTTCCTTTCACAGGTTGATAAATCACGAGAAGCTACAACTGGAGAAGACTGTGTATTACCCAGAGATCCTAGCCTTTCAGCTCAAGGCAATAACTGGTTGGGAACTGACAAATGGTAAATGGGTCCTATGTGGGGAAAAAAGGGTGCTCATGGTTACTTGGATAGCCAGAGAGGTAGGCTTCAGTGGAACTGCCTACTTGACTCTGAGAATCCATTTCTAATTCTTCCTTTTTTCCTTTTCATAATAGAACTTCCTGAGCTATGCAAATGGCTACCAACTAAAGACTACATTTCCCAGCCTCCCTTGCAGCTAGATGTGGTTATATGATGGAATCTGGGCCAATGGGCTGTGAATGGAGTTGATGCATGGTATTTTCAGGTTTTCTCCTTAAAGATGTTTGCTCTGAATTCTCTCCCTTCCCAATAGGTTGGGAAATGGTCATTTCAAGGAATGAACTCAGAAGTCACTTGTTGAGGAAGGAGAGATGCCTTACCAGAACTGGACTGTTGACTTGGAAGAGGAATACAACTTCTAGTTTATTTAACCCATTCTATTTTTATCAGGACAGCTTAGCCTGTGGCCTCACCAAGGAGGCTGCCAATGAGCAATGAAAAAGCTAAAAGTCTTGTAGGCGTGAGGAATTAGAGACATAATGCTCACACACAAACAGTAATACCAGTCTCTGAGTTGACTTCGACACTGGTAAACAAAGCAAACCTTTTTCTTAAAACCTTCCATTAAAAACAAAAGAAAGACAAACATTTATGGTACCTCTTTGCACCTTGTATTAAAAGCCATTTCCATCCTTCTTCTGGTTTCAGGGACACAGCACTTCTTCATGACAGGAAAATAGTGTGGATATTTTAAGGTAATTTTATATTTGTCATCATCTGTCTTTTCTAAACTACCAATGAAATCATCAGGAAGAGCACCTGCAAAAAATCATTTTCTCACACATCAATTTTTCCACTTATTATTGGTTTATGTGGTATTGGCATGGTGCCTTCAAGTAGCTCTAGGAATTTTATGGAGTAATTGAAATTCAAGAAAAATAATGACAATCCTTATAATATCATTTTGATGGTGCTGGAATGGGGGTGGCAGTTAGAGGCCAGGTGGCTCAGGAGATGGTAATTCAAAATATGAATAGGCTTCAGTGCACCTGTGCAGATGGTATTTTAATGCAGAACAAGCAAAATTAAGCCAATAAAGACCCACGGCAGAATAAAAGACTAGAGGAAGATACAATGTAGGGGACACTGCAGGGCAGAAAAATTTTAAGGCATTGAAGGCTATTAAACACCAGCAAAAGTCACCAAGAAAGATTATGAAAAGAAAAAAAAAAAAAGATGATGAAATCCCCTCTGGATTGTCTCTAGCAATTGTTTACACTCTCATTCACCTAAAATCTAATTTTGGCTACTTTTGTTGTCTTCTCTGTAGGGTGGTAGGGTTAGGTAGTGGAGTATATTTTTAAAAGTCTCATGCTCTACCGACTGAGATAGCTGGCACCACGGAGCATATTTTTAAAGAATATTTTGAACTTTTAGGTTTTATATCTGGAAAGTGAAGCGAACTGTGATGTGACATTATTTACCTGAATTATATGATTTAATCTAGAAAAACAAAATTTACCAAGTTCAGCCTTCGAAAATACAAGGAAGGTATCATCCTCATTGAGGTTTTTGTTAAAGTCAATACATAGCTCACTCATTCTTTTCTTCATCGATTTGATTTCCTGAAATGGAGATAAAAATACAGGACATTAACAATAAAAAGCAACTTTCATTTTTATTGTCATCAGTCAAGTAAGTTTCATTTTTGTATGAAAATTGACTTCCCAACCCTCAGGAAGTACTTTCGTAGAGGTGTGCTTGATAAAATGGCTTTCTGCAGTCTTCTATGTCATGTCCACATGTATCTGTGTAGCACTTACAGAAAGGCGAGCCTCGTGATGTGTTAGAAATTAGTCACAAATCTGAAGAACTAAATAAATTCAGGAGGTATAATAAAAGCAGGATTTGGCACATAGTACACAATAAATAGTTGCTCAGTGAAGGAACAACTCCAGTAGCCCATTACCAATTAGCATATTACTAATCTTTTCCAATTAAAAATTTTAATTTAGCAATCAGTATCTATTTGTGAAGTAAACTGAGAGGTAAGAATAATTAAATCCATGGTTGCTTTGGAAAAAAGCTGATGTCTTTGTTTTACAGAGCTTTTGTGAACAAAGATTATTTACAGACCCTATCATTTGCATAAAAAGTATTAGGTGGGAAACCAAAAGAAACAATAAGAGGAAAACCACAAGAAAAAACATGAAATTATTAATCTGTCCCATTCTTCTAACAATGATAAATGATGAAATTTACTTAAATCATACTGGTTCTCAAAGTGTGGCCCTGGGAACTTGTTAGAAATACAAATCTTAAGATCCCACACTAAACCTACTAACGTGCAAACTTTTGGGAGCTGAGCCTTATAATCAGAGTTTGAGCAAGCCCTCCAGGTACTTCTGCTGCACACTAAATTTGAGACTACTGACTTAACACATACTGTTCAGTGTTTTTAGATGCTTTGGTTTTCTCCACAACCCCTCTTCCCCAACTCTACAGCACCTATGTAGTTCAGACAGGACCTGACCCTGTCTGTAGCTCTAGGTACATGACCACTACACCAGCTGGGTAATCCTTCCATCCCCACTACCCTAGTGACTGGTTCATATACTCCAGGCCTGGTATTCCCCTGACTAAAAGGGGATTCAAGATTAACTATGGGGCCAGGCACGGTGGCTCATGCTTATAATCCTAGAACTCTGGAAGGCCAAGGTGGGAGGATCACTTGAGGTCAGGAGTTCGAGACCAGCCTGAGCAAGAATGAGACCTCGTCTCTAGTAAAAATAGAAAAGAAAAAAATAGCTGGCAATTAAAAATAGAAAACATTAGCTGGGTGTGGTGGTGCATGCCTGTAGTCCCAGCTACTTGGGAGGCTGAGGCAGGAGGATTGCTTGAGCCCAGGAGTTTGAGGTTGCTGTGAGCTAA